GATATTTTGCTTTATGAAACCATAGTTAGTAGAGGGGGGACTGGTTAGGAAACCCGGCGAACATCAAAGAGAGATGTCTTTGTCTACGAATTTCACTATCACGTGACGTTGACCCTGCACAACATTTCAAGATGGCGTCTGTGTAGGAGAGCGATCGATGCGTGAGATTGGAAGTCTATTTATTCTATTTAAAACCGTGTTTTTTGACGCGCTAAGTTTACAGATTCAAGGAAAAGGTTTTCATGATTAGTTATACGCGATGCCGGGTGAAAATTGTGCGGTGTGGGGCTGCGGATCGTGCTGGAGAACGAAAGGTCTTGGTATATTTAAGCTGCCAGCGGCAAAAGATGAGGTTCACAAGAAGTGGAGGGAAGGTTGGCTTGGCGAGATTACGAAAACTCGCAAGAAGAACTTTGAGTTTCAGAAGCTGATAGAAAATGACACAGTCTATACTTGCGAGAAGCACTTCAAACCTGATGAGATAGAAATATGTAAGTAGCAGTTTACGTATAAAAAGCAGCTTAATGTGTGAATTATTGTCTTAAGTGTAGTGATTTCCTTGGCAGCGAGCTGTTGTATTTGGAGGTTTTGTCCTGTAGTTTCTATCTGAAAAGTATTTTATCATGAGCTAAGCAATGATCTCACTTCCATAATTGGCGACTGTGCGTCTGGTATGACACCATTCATGAATCTTTTCTGGCAGCGACAGAAAAAATTATTGAAAAGCAGTGCAACTGGTGTCAGATATCACCCGATGATAATACGTTTTTGTTTGTCACTGGCTGCTAAGTCTCCGTCCTGTTATGAAGAATTGCGAAACAGTAAAGTTCTTGTGCTGCCAAGTCAACGGCGACTCTGCGACTACAGAAATGCTATCCGACCACAGAGAGGGTTCCAAGAAGAGGTCATCGAGGAGGTAAAGTCAGAAACACAGTCGTACTTTGATGTGCAGCGATACGTAGTCCTGTTGTTTGATGAAATGAAGATAAATGAAGATAAATGATAGATGAAGGGGACTGGGGTCTAATGGCGGACACACGCACCGTCATTAGGCTCTTCGTATTTCTTATTCTTCTAGCCCATCTAGCGGAGCCTAGGTTCACCAGCTTGATTTACAGGACGGCTAAAGATACTAACCTGCCAGTCGGACCATCTCTCAAACTGGAACTGGTTAAATTTCGCCGGAAACATCGAGTTAAGTTCGCTGTTCAGAAGGCTACTAAACATGGGCCTGTTATGATATGTCTGCCCGAAGCAGCGTTTGTCCTGCGGCCCGTCGGACTAGAAAACATCATTAGAAGTGGTGACGTTCACCCTCTACCAGGACCCTGTTTAATTCAAGACCAGCAAAGGACTTCTGACCGAACCCGACCAACAATTGCGTATTCTCCTTCGGCTTTGCGTAATTTGGCTGCCTCTATTAATAGCGTCTCTTTGCGTCCTGAATTAAAACACCGACTCCAAGACCTGGGCATTCTAGGCTTTCGGAATACCTTCACTCAAAAACACATGCCGATTCCTGTGATTTCAAGACCCTGTCAATCCAGGAATATTTACAACTCAAGATCAAGAAATTTAAATAATTGTGTCTCCATCTTTACTGGTGATTATGTTAATTCTCGTAGCTGTCCTTTTGTTCCGCGAACAATAGGAGAGGACGCACGATCGATTCCGGTCAGGATCACACCTCGCAGCGCAGTGCGTGGACCCAGTAAACCAGTAAATCGTCAACGAGCAGTGAAAGTAATCAATCTAACTAAGATTACTTCTCAAAAACGCCCCAATTACAGCTTCCCAAGTTTCTACATGGCAAATGCTCGATCGGTCAGGGACAAACTGGACGAGTTGACTGCTCAGCTTTTAACGTTTCACATGGATATTGCAATTATTACGGAGACTTGGCTGCATGACTACATCGATAATAACATCCTTACCATTCCAGGTTACAACATCGCGAGACGTGACCGCCACAACCGAATAGGGGGTGGCGTGTGCGCGTTCGTGTCTTCAGAGATACCTTTCAAGCGTAGATCTGACTTGGAGTCTCCAGAACACGAGTGTTTGTGGCTATGGTTACGCCCTCATCGTCTACCACGCCCACTATCTGGTATTATATGTGGGGTGGTGTATTTTCCTGTGGCCTCTGCGCAAGTGCAGCGAGATCGCACAATGTACATCATAGAAACACTAGACTCCGTAAAGACTTCTTATCCAGACTGTGGTGTAGTGTTATTAGGCGATTTTAACACCCAGGACATCTCAGACATGTTAGCCAATCATAACCTAAAACAAGTAGTTATCAGACCCACTCGGGGCAATAGCATACTAGACCTTATTTTAACGGATTTTAGTGAATACTATAGGGAACCAATTGTCAGCGCACAATTAGGGTCTTCGGACCATAGCTCTGTTCACTGGAATCCGCTTTCAATGAACCAACTAAACCCGCTGCGCGTTGAAAAGAAAAGGATCCCGATGCGTCGCTTTCCTCAGTCGGCAATAAGCGCTTTTGGGAGGTGGGCGTGTTCACACCGTTGGTTCAGTAATTTAGAAGTAGACGGTGACTCACCATCAGTTGACTCTCTCACTGACTCATTTACTAAGGATCTTTCATCAGCCAGCGATATCTACTTTCCGTCCAAATACGTGAAGATTCATCCAATGGACAAGCCTTGGATGTCACCTGAGATTAAGGCTCTCATATTAGAGCGCCAACGCGCCTATCTCAATGGCCCGGAGGAGAAATGGCGTCGCCTTAGAAATAAGGTCAGAGAGGTTATCACCCGCCGGAAATGCGAGTTCTATAAAAACAAAGTTAATAACCTCAAGAGCACTGACCCGAGGAAATGGTGGAGTATGGTGAATAAGCTTGCAGGGAAGGCTAGCAGCCCTAACGAACTCAGTTATACTGACGAGGAAGGCAGAATTATCTCTGGCGCGACTCTCGCAACACGCCTTAATGAGTTTTTTGTATCTGTAATATCTGACATTAAGCCACTTGATACAAGTGCACTGCCCTGCTACTTACCATCCCCTCAACCGCCCGTAATCGAGACACAAAGGGTCTACAAAAAGCTACTTGCCATCAGCGCCTTTAAGGCCCCTGGGCCTGATGGGATTCCGACTCGTATTTGGAAAGAATATGCTGCTGAGCTCGCTGAGCCGATCACGCGAATATTCAACACCTCTATTGCATCAGGCTCCTTCCCTACTGCATGGAAAGACTCTAATGTCACACCGGTACCCAAGGTTACGCCCATAACCGGTAGGGAAGATTTAAGACCTATCTCCCTAACTGCAATCGTCTCTAAAGTCCTGGAGGATTTCGTAGTTGAATGGCTAATTGAGGATGTTGTGCACCTCATCGATTTCAGCCAATTCGGCTGCCTCAAAGGAACTTCAACCATCTATTGCCTGTTGGATATGATGCACAACTGGTTGTCCTCTATTGACAAACCAGGTATGTTCTTAAGGGCCTGCTTCCTGGATTTTAGTAAGGCTTTTGACCATATTGACCACACTATCTTAGTCAATAAACTCATCCACCTTGGGGTCCGTGGTTTTATTATCCGTTGGATTTGCAGTTTTCTTTATGGCCGTCGCCAAGCTGTTAAGATTAAGAACATTGTATCCCCTTGGTTGCCCGTGCACGCTGGAGTCCCGCAGGGCACTAAGCTTGGCCCCATCCTGTTCCTCCTGATGATTAACGATCTCGCGATTGAAACTCCATTACTATCGAGCCACTGGAAATATGTAGATGACCTAACAATATCCGAGGTCATCCCATCAGGCAGTACATCGTCCCTTCAGAAAGATCTTGACGCCATTGCACAGTGGTCGTCGCGCAATAATATGAACCTCAACCCAAAGAAGTGCAAGGAACTTGTGATTTGTTCGCTTAGAACGCGGCCAGATCTTGGCCCTTTGTGCGTCAATGGACGTCCCTTAGAACGGGTCTCCTCACACAAGGTCCTTGGAGTCACCATCAGCGACACTCTTGGGTGGAATGAGCACGTGCGTGAGATTGTCTCCAAAGCCTCAAAACGTCTTTACATCTTAAGAGTGCTCAAGCGGTCCGGAATTCCACCCGAAGACCTTATTAACATATTTTATGCCTTGGTACGATCGGTCCTCGAATACGCCTGCGTCACTTGGTCTACTAGCTACCAATTTACCTCAAGGACATGATCGAAAGAGTTCAGAAAAGAGCTCTGCGTATATTATTTCCGGCGCTGAGCTACAAAGACGCCATTGTGGCTGCAAACTCCACTCGCTTAAATGTGAGAAGAGACGAACTCTGCAAGAAAGTTTGGGACGGTATCTGTGTGCCTGGGTCACGGCTGTACCACCTTATTCCACCAAAGCGCGCCGATTGCCACGTTTATGAGTTGCGCAACAAAAACCATGTATCACTCTTTAAATGCCGGACCGAAAGATTTAAAAAATCTTTCTTTCCAACAATGGCGTCTAACGCCCAGTTCTTATAGTCAAGCAAACCTAAGCGTTTTTCATTGGTATATAACTACTGACTCTTGTAATTCCCAGTCCCCTTAGACTCTTAATTTTAAAGTCAAATGTAAGATTTTCGTATTTTTTAAATATTTAAAGTATACTTGTAAATTCACATGTATTTCACCACTGGGGTGCTATTTTTGAATACTTTTAATAAACCCTTCTATTATTATTATTATTATTATAATGGCAAACCTGGTCTTAGACAAAGTGACTGGAGAACTTATTGGTTTTACTGACCTGGGTGACCCAGACTTAAATTATGGGTCACTAGAAAAAGTCAATGAGCTTGCCACACATGCCTTAGCATTCCTGGTGCGTGGGGTGTGCACAGAGCTTAAATTCTGCTTGGCTCATTTTGCAACAACAGGAGTCACTGCAGCTCAGTGAATGCCTCTTTTCTGGGAAGCAGTTGGCATTCTTGAGACAACCTGCAATCTTTGGGTCATTGGGGCCACTTCTGATGGGGCATCACCAAACCGATGATTCTACAATGTAGCTGCATTTCTGGATAACCCTCTGAAAAAGGTTGTAGATTTCAATGGAACCTGAGAATGATATTTTCCATAAAACTTTTCAGTGTCTCCATTTTTCAAGTATCCATCATACAGTGTTTTAAACACACAAAATCCCTCAGTTTCATTGGGCTGTTTATATTCATAGTGCTTAAATTCCTTCCGCAAGTCAACACTGAATACTTTGTTTTCTTTAACCTTTTGCAAGGCATCATTCACAATTTCAGCAAGAATGCTCGGTGTCAGAGACACTGGTTGGGGCTGATCACTGTGTTTGGCATTTCTGTGTCTTCGGTATCCTCCACTGGACTTGTATTTTTTACCACAGTCACTGCATATAATTTCCGTCGATTGAACCTACAATGGCACGGGAAAACAATAAATAAGGATAGGCTACTGTAAAGTGTTTAGACAAAACAGCATTGTCTGATGTGAAATATCACGAGTTTGTTTGGATATTAAGACATTCATTACAAACAACGCTGTAATAACTAAGCTTCGCAACAGCTGTTCATAGACATAGGCTAGCATGAGTTCTTTTAGTCTCTTCCATTGCTAGAACATTTATTTCGAAAGAATCCATGTCTATAGAATTATTAATACGGATAAACAAGACACAAACTCACAAGCGTCCTCACGAGCAACTTATAGGATAAGATTTTACTATGATGCAGCTGAAAAAGCAGATATTTTTGTAATTCCATACTCACATCGCTAACTAAGCTTTCAAACTGTCCATCTAAGTCTTCTTCTTCTTCCAGGATATCCATGATAGCATCAAAGTCTTCTCCAAAGACATAAAGATCGCTCCTTCGGCCCGCCATCTTGTTTTGCCGTGTGCAGGGTCAGTGTCATGTGACGGGTCGGTTCAACATCTGAGAGGCTGCTATTGTTTTAGCCTTTGAAGTTTACCGAGTTTCCTAACCAGTCCCCCCTCTACTAACTATGATGAAACGGTTGTTGAAAAATGCAACCATGTAGAAAAAAAGAAACAGCATTTCGCACCTATTATTAGGCAAGAAGTTTTTATGTATTAAAAGCTAGCCTTAATCTTGTTTGAAAGCAATTTGTCTTGTTTTGGTGGGATGCCTGAATAAAGACTAAAGTTATCTAGTACTTGCTGAATCATTTTTGAATGGTGGCATTTTGGGTACAATTCAAACAAGTTACATAAAAAGTCACCACAATCATGGTTTCAGCACACACCACCCCCAGTAATATACCTTTTTTAATACTAGAGTCTGACTATGTATATGTCATGCATGTAAAGGATGCTTATTATGTAGCTGAAGCTGCCAGTGGGAGAATTAAAGTAAATCCTGTATTCTGATTTGCTGACCATGTAAACATTTGCCTTGCAATTTCTGCAAGGTAACAGTGTTTTAAAATTTCCACTGAAGGAAACTGGAAATGTTAGATAATAAAGGTCAATTTTTGCAAACTATTTTTTGGGAATGCTGTGTTGCCATAGCTATGGTTTCTACCTTATGGTTGAAAAATCATAAATAAGTAATCAAATCTACCTTGATACCCTCAAGGGGTGAATTTCATGAACCAAAACACTGGTGGATCCAGACCTTCAATTAATTAGAGGTCCCACTCATCCAGACCCTAAAAAAGGGGGGGCCCTGTTCTCAAACATAATCATTCTCAATCCTGACCCAGATCCCTACCCTAGATTCACCTATGCAAAATAACAAAAAAAAGAAAGTTCAGCTCTAATTTGTGACTCAAGTAGTAATATAGCGACAGTATAGCGCGAACCAATCAGAATTGAGTATTGAGGTCATGTGATACAAATGGACCAATCAAAAAGGCGGATTTTCACATTCCATTCTGATGAAGTCACAAAAAACCCCAAACGCCTGGTACCGAGTTTAATGCGCGCGTGCGGGTTCGCAAGCGTGAGGAGATAGGGATTTTTTTGCGCGCGGTTTGCAAGCACGCGTCGACCATTCCACGTCTACTCTCGACAATCATCGCTTGCAAACTTGCTGGAATCTTAAAACCAACCAGAGGAACACGCAGCAGGTTCTAACGCAAAATACAGGCGGATCACAGAGTTAACCGTATTCCTACTATTATCTCAAGACAAAATCAGTTCGATATTGGCTGTCTAAGGGCTAAGGGCATGATTCAGTAAATCATGGGAACTTATTAAATATTCAAAATCACACCTCTTCGACCCCATCAAGATCCGAAGTCAATAGCATGACCACAAGCTCCCTTGGGAGGCCTCACTTCGTTCCGTCGATCTTTTTGTCTAACACAATGTCCTTGGCGCCTAAAATTGATGAAATCGCTCACACTTTAATCAACATTGATGCTGATATCGCCCTTTTTACGGAAACCTGGCTGAGTGGCTGTGTGCCTGATTCCCCGATTAACATCAAAGGCTACCAGCTTTTTAGGCGCGGCCGTGTCGGCTGGCAACATGGAGGTGTGTGTATGTACGTTAAAGACTCGACCCAGT